TTAGCAAAGAGCTCTGGTAGCGTAGTGCCTAAGGCACTTGACTGCTAACCAGAAGGCTGAGGGTTCAAACCCACCAGCCACTCCTCGGAAGGAAGATTGGGCAATCTACGTCCATAGTGATACTGCCTTGAAAACCCAAGGAGGGGTTGCCATGAGTCAGACACGACTTGACAGCAGTGGGTTTGATTTTTTTTTTTTTTTTGGAATGATTATAGCAAACTTGTGTTACTTTGCTAACAATGAAGATGCTGTTTATGCAGAATTCACCTCACAAAGCAAACTGTCAGTCAGGCTGGTAGTATAGATATTCTAAAGCACTAGAGAGATTATGTGGTTGGCGTCTTCATACTAATAATGCTATGGTGCTGAAATTTACAACACCACAAATTTAGTTGTCTCTGGGGCCACTCAACAATCCTTTTGGGTTCAGCTCTATCCTAGAGTCTTAGAACAATCGTAGCCTTACAAGAGGAGAAATATTACAAATTAGACTTATTCTGACTTTGTTATCCCATAACTTTACTCAGGATCTTACTTGATTTCCTGTACCGTTCTTCTAGAACCTAAATATCTTATTTGTTTCCCCAACTGATCCTCTAGTTCCCTTGAGACTAGGGTTCTGATTTGTCTCTTTTCAGGCCGTTGTAGTCCTTACTTTGACACTCTACCTCTATCTACTCTTAAGACTCTAGGATTTCCTTTGCCTTCTTCTTGCCTTGACCTCCACGATTGCTCCTACCAGGTCTCCCTGACACTTTAGTCACCTGCTTGAGATTGCTCTGTAATACTTAGGCCTCTTTTAGAGCTTATCTCAGCCCTGTTGGTCTGACTGATCTTTTAATCCTGGCCCACCAGCCACTCCTCAGAAGGGAGGTTGGGCAATCTACTTCCGTAGTGATACTGCCTCAGAAACCCAAGGAGAGGTCGCTATGAGTTGGGGCCAACTCAATGGCACATAACAACAACAACAACAATATCCCTGATATGGCCCAAAGGCTTGAATAACCTTTAATGGCTTATAACTGTAAAAAGGTATGAGCATTGGTGGTTCAGTGATAGAATTTTCAAGTCACATGTGGGACATCTGGACAAATTTCTAGCCAATGCACCTCATAAACACCCACCACTCATCTGTCAGTGGAGGCTTGCATGTTGCTGCGATGTTGGATAGGTTTCAGCAAAACTTTCAGACTAAAATGGACTATGGAGAAAGGATTGACAATCTACTTCTGAAAATCAGGCAACAAAAAGCCAATGGATCACAAGTGTCCAATCTCCAACCAGTTGTGGGAATGATGAAAGACCGGGCAGCATTTTGTTTCCTTGTGCATGGGGTTGCCATGAGTAGGGATCCAACAAGAACCACAGACAAAATGAAATAAAAAGGATAAATAATCCAATGTATTTGAATGGTACCACTCAATTTAACCTCCAATGCTATTGGTCAGCCCAAGCTCAAAAAGACTTCTGTCCATCTCTAGAATGGATAGCCACCATCAAAAGTTGTGGGTTAACCTCAACTTAGGAAAACCGAAAGAATATATATATATAAGAACTAAAGAAAATACATGAAAAGAAGTTCCAGTGATTTTGTAACTTTATTTTTAGTATCAATAGAATAAGTGTGCAGTTTCCCAGGGGACTTCTATGAAGGGACTAGCTCTCACCTAGATATATAATTTCTGATGGGTTTGTTACACAATCCCTCCTGATTGCTTTAGTATTACTGTGAAACACTACTTTATATCAGCTTTTTTAAACCCAATCTTGACTAGCTAAAAGAGTACTGAGACTAAACGCCGTGTCCCCACACTTTGACTCTGCATTCATATTTATCCCGACAATGATCTTGTACTACAGGTGGAGTTAGGGATAGGAGGGGAAATTGGGGAGCCTGTAGAGATTCAGAAGAGTAAGAAACAGAAAAAGGATTAGCGATTAGAAGTCTTAGAGTCCCCTGCCAGGATGGCCTGAATGTAGTTTGTACTACAATTACCCTTTGAACCCCACTCAGAACCCCAATCTATTTGTCTGAGTTCCTGATACCTGCCTAACTCTTGGCAGTTCCCTGTTACTAAGGGCCTGCACTCTGTTTCTAGTTCCTCTATCTCTCTCATAGCCTTTACCTGAAAATGAGTAGTAGCACTGCCCAGAGAGCCATACTGCCTTCTCCTCTTCTTTTTTTATAGAAATGCTAGCGTAGATGGGGGCCTGATGTTGAGACAAGGACTGCTGGCAATTTTCTTTTAAGCCAGGCCTGAAGCCCACTGTGCCTCTTCTTACCACAGACTTGCCCTTTCCAGGTTTATTCTCCCTCTTTCCTGAGCAGCCTTTGAGGTACCAGCAAGCCATCTGGCCAAAATAGTGGGGATTAAGGTACAAATTGAAACTGGAGTTCTTCTAATCTAGTATGACAGTTTGTACTGATCAGGTTAGTAGGGATAATTTCTCTTTGACTTGTACAGAGGCATAAAAACTTAATCTGATTTGCTATTAATTACTCTGTCCAATCATTAACATAATGTTTCACTAAACAGAGAAAATCTATTCACATTGCAGAAGAAAGTGTATCAACGAAAGCACAATAATAGCAAAGTGTGGCCTTTTGTGTTCAGCAGGGAACGTGTACTACCACTATGAGCAGTACATGCACTTTGACATGTTTCTGACCAGTAGTGATGGGCTTTCTGAGCTGTAACTCTCCTCCAGTTCCCTCAGGGGAATTACATACATTTGTGAGATGATTGGCATGGGATACAGAGGTAGACTGTGGTTTTGGGAAGAATGAAACTAATTGGCCAACAAGATTGATAACCACATTTTGAATGGTTATTGAATATCAAATCAATGAAATTACTTTAGATGTTTTTTTTTTTCATTCTTTTATTAAGAAGTATTTGTTGAACAATTATTCAGTGTTAAGTGCTATGCTTGGCACTGGGAATGTTGCCTTCAGACAACACAGAAACAGATCCTGCCTTTGTGGAATTTACAGTACAGACAGAGGAGAAAGACATCAAATCAGCCAGCTAATTATTTAATTACAATTGTGAAAAATTTATAAAGAACAAATCAAGGTGCTTTGAGAGCATATCATAAGAGGATTGGATAGGACCCAAATATTCAGGTGAAAAGTGGTTGGAGGAAAGGGAAAAAGAACAACATTGTGAGGAAAGAAAAGGGTCAAATCAGTGGGTTTGGGGAACTTAAAGAAAGCAATGGAGGTAGGAGTTTAGAGAGCAAAAAAGAGGCAAAAGATGAGACTGGAGATTTAGACAAGAGTTAGATTCTTATAGACCATGAATGGACTACATGCCCTTGGATGTTGTGACAGGTAATATTGGTTACTTTTGTGGGATATTTGGATTTTATTCTAAAAACAATGGGAAGTCATTGAAGGTTTGTAAGTTTAGTTGATCTTGGACTAGTAGATAGTAATAAATTTTTCAATGGCCAACACACTAAATAAACCCTGCAGCCTACCTCAGAAACTTGAAGCTGAAAAAAAAAAAAAAAAAACCATGTATGGATGGAGCAGATGAAGCATTTCCACTCTGCATCTGCACAGAAGGCGAGACAGAACCCCTGAGAGCTGAATAGTAATTACACTTCTCCTCTGGATCCATGTCTTAACCACAAGGAGTGTGTTCTGCAGGATCTATTTCATAATTGAGGGTAATTACAAGAAGTTAAAACTAGATTAGAGACAATTAGACCCTATACAACAGGGAGCTCTGTGGGTGGTCGGGAAAGGAGTAGGAAGAACCAGCAGGAAAAGAGTTTCCCAAACTGCTTGGCATTCTTTGACTCAGCTGGTAGAGGTGGAGGTTTCTTTTGAGGGAGGTCTGTCTGTGCTCCTGGTGTCTCTGCACAGCTGGAACAGGTGGGCAGGTGAAATGAGGTCAAGAACCACATCACTGACAGCCAATCAAAGTTATCTTTTATCTCAGTTCAGAATGTTTCCTAGGTCAGAAGCCAATATGGAAGCAAAGAGTTTGAAAAGAAGGTGCATTTAAATTTAATTGGAGGTTTTATTTGAGCAACTTTTTTCTTTTTCTTTTCTTTTTTTTTTTTTTTTTGCCCGTCTGGATCTAGATAATATGGAACAAACATGGAAATCATATGATTTTTATTCTGAAAGAACTTCTAAGTCTAGTTAAGAGGATGGCTTATTTCCCACTCTTTATCCACCAAACATCCATTGCTTTGATTAGTCATTGATTCATTTAATCAAGAAATAATGTTGCAACTACTTTGTGCAGAGCACCATTCTAGGAGACATTAAGAGGAGTAAGGATGATATTATCCCAGTCTTCAAGGGGCTTGATTAACTGTTAAAGTGATGGAACAGTCAGTAGCTGCTCTGGGAATTTATAGATGGTTCTGATCTGTGGAGAGGCACATTATCTAAGAAGTGGCGGAAAGCGAAGTGTGGCAGCAGGAATGTGCATGAACCCCAAGGAGAGGCACAGAGAAGAGCACTGCTAGGCAGACGCTAAGGGTCATGATAGGAAGTCCTTCAGGATAAGGTTGGATAGGTACAGCAGCTTGGTGTGCATGTAGGTGTATGCGTGGGAGGGTGTGTGCACACATAGGCACATGTACATGATGCAACCCAGAACCTCAGCACCAACAGATATGTTTACATTACACACATACACACACACATAAACACATACGTACACAGGATTTTGTGACATGAAGTTGTTGCTGTGTGCATGAGTCTTTCTAATTTTTCCTTAAAAGACATCTATTTATGGTAGTATGACCTGGCGGAATCATATTCATCATGATAAACTTAATCTCACCATGTAGGGATTAATGTGGAGCTCCCAAGAATATTAGACTGTAGAAGCTGAGGGAAGGCTCCTACTCTGCTGCCCATTTCCCTGGAGCGAGGGAGCAGCAGTACCCCTAAGGACGCACCCTAACGACTGGCCTTCTTCAGAGAAGCCCAGGCTGCTCTTAGAAAAGGGAATCCTTGGGGATGGTGAGGGCCATTAGGTCCCTTTAGCATATGCCCATTGACTCATGAGTCTCCTCACTGCCTTTTTAACATCCTTGTTTCTCAGGCTGTACACGATGGGGTTGATCATGGCGGTGACCACAGTGTAGAGTAAGGAGAAAATCTTGTTAAGGGCAGCAGCCTGGGTTGCTGTGGGAATGGCATACACTGTCCCCAGTGTTCCATAGTATAGAGTGACCACAATGAGGTGGGAGGAGCAGGTGGAGAAGGCCCGTTGCTTTCCTGCAGCTGATGGGATCCTGAGGACAGCAGCAACAATGTGGATATAGGAGACTACAGTGAGCAGAAAAGGTACCATGGTGACAAAAGAGGCCAGGAGGAAAGTAGTTCTTTCCACTGTCTCGGGATCAGAACAGGCCAGCTTCAGCACAGGGGCCAGGTCACAGAAGAAGTGATTAATCTCATAGGCTGCACAGAATGGCAGCTGAAAAGTCATGGTGACAGTGACCACAGGGGTTAGGAATCCACCCAGCCAAGACCCACCTGCAAGCAAAACACATGTGCGGAGATTCATGAGGGCTGGGTACCGGAGGGGGCTGCAGATGGCAAGGTAGCGGTCATAAGACATGGCTGCCAGCAGAAAACACTCAACAACTGCCATGGAACCAAAGAAATAAAACTGAGCCACACACCCTGCAAATGATATTGCCTCAGGACCTGAAAGGAGGGTCTTCAGCATCTTGGGGGAAATGGAGGTAGTATACCAGATCTCAAGGAAGGAGAAATTGAATAGAAAGAAGTACATGGGGGTTTGAAGACTGTGGTCTAAAGAAATGACTGCAAGGATGAGAATGTTCCCAAGCAAAGTCACTACATAGATTCCCAGAAATATCCCAAAAAGGAAAAACTGCCACCCATGGAGACTCCCAAATCCCAGGAGAAGAAATTCTTTGATCGTGGTCAGATTACCCATATCTGTGAGTCAGACGTCAGACCTGAGAAAAAGAAAGAAGATAGCCAATTGAAGAAAAAGCCACGCTACTGGAGCGAAACAATACCAGAAATGCCCTACAGCAAATAACTCAAAGGCTCTGTCTTTTCTGGCATTCATTTCCTGTTTTTTCTACTAGGTGTACTTACCAAATAGCTGTAGCAGAATCTAGCACTATGCCCTGGAGAATGAACAGAGAGGATGTCTTTTCTGTTCTTTTCTACTCTTTCATTTGACACAGATTGTGATGAATCTACGGGGGGTGGGGGGAGAGGCTCACAGTGAGAGACAAACACTTCCTAATGAGGGCATGTCCCAGAAGCTTCTGTGAACCTAATATTGTCTGAACTTCTGAAACTTGACCTTTTAGACTCAATAGAAGTATGAAGCCAAAATCCTAAAATAAAATTGTAATCAGACCACCCCAAGTCCCACTGAATGCTTAAATCAGAATGGGTTTCACCAGGAATGTTGTTAGAGGGAGGAGGGGACTTCAGAGCTATTGATCTTAAAGTACCTGTAAGAAAAATAAGAGTTTCTGCCAGGCTCAGGGGACATGAAGCTGATTGCTTCCATTGCATCAAATTCCTATGGAAATTGGGGGGAAATGTATGTAAAGTTATTCACTTGAAATGTTAGAGAAAAATAATGTTCCATCCTTCATAAATGAAAATGACATTCCTGACTCACAGGCAGTAGGATGTGCATTTAGAGTTATTTTTTTCCCCCAGCAGTTGGGATGGGTTAGCAGTGAGTCATGGATGCATGTCTCTCTTCTCAACAAGCCCCCCGTGGTGCTCAAGGACCCAAATTTGTGAGATGGCTGCCTGCTCTTAGTGCCTGGGCTGTGAGAAAATTAGAAACCAGTCTGGGCTGTAGTGCACGTTATGGGACAATGGGAGGCCAGTGGTAGGGGCTCTGTTCAGTTGGTATTCTAAGTTGAAGACAGTCTGTGGCCATGAGATAAAGCACAGCCACCTTTGCTGCTTTGCTTTGGGTAATGACTATGTGCCTCTAAAAAGTTGGAGTTAGGTCACAATTTTGTAATGAAATCCTATTTTAAAATCCACTCAAAACAAAAAAACAAACTCACTGCCGTCAAGTCGGATCCAACTCATAGCGACACCTCCTTGGGTTTCCAAGGTGGTATCACTCTGGAAGTAGATTGCTCTATCTTCCTTCCGAGGAGTGGCTGATGGGTTTGAACAACCAGCCTTCTGGTTAACAGTCAAATGCTTTAGGAACTGTGTCCTCCAATCAGGCAGCTGGCTATTCAAAGGAACTTTATTGAGAATGCTTCTGTGAGTTCCACCACAATTTGCCCTTTGTGCCAATCTGGATTATTAATACACGAGGCTACATAAAGGAAGGTCTACCTCTAATCGGTGTATTCAGGACATTTAGGGCTCTAAGGTGGTTCTGAATGTGATTACAGTGTATAAAGAAAATCAGTCAACATCTAGGCTGTCCCTGGGGGCAACAGTGGCCTCTTAATTGGGGGATCAAACTGTAGTGTCCCACTACCACCTCACCTTGTCTTCAGAGCTGCCCAGCCAGGATTCAGAACTAACATTAACATCATTCGATTTTTATCACTCAATCTAAGTCTCATCAATTAATAATGGAATAAATTGGATTTTCCCTTTTGGCCTACAGATGTACACCTTGGAGTCTCCAAATTCAAAGGCACACTAGGCTCTTCTTCTTCTTCTTCTTCTTCTTTTTTTTTTTGTAGTGAGGAGATGTTAATGTAGGTGCAAAATAGAGGCTCCTGCTTGGGACTTCATGTTGTTGTTGTTGTTGTTATGTGCCATCGAGTCGGACTTGAATCATAGCGACCCCTCCTTGGGTTTCCGAGGCAGTGTCACTGCAGAAGTAGATTGCCCAACCTTCCTTCTGAGGAGTGGCTGGTGGGTTTGAACCGCTGGCCTTCTGGTTAGCAGTCAAGTGCCTTACACACTACTCTACCAGAGCTCCCTAGGACTTCATGCATGTATTTATTCACCAAATCATTTTGGATACCTACTATGTGTCATATTTTATGTTAGGTAGGCATTAGGGGTAGAACAGTGATAATTTAGTAATAGAATTCTCTTTTTCCATGCAGGAGATCCGAGTTTGATTTTCAGCTAATGTACCTCACACACAGTAACCACATCTGTCAATGGAGCCTTGCGTGTTGCTATGATGGGGAACAGGTTTCATGGGAGCTTTCAGACTAAGACAGACAAGGAAGAAATTTCTGGCAATCTACCTATGAAAGTGAGTCAGTAAAAGCCCTATGATTCAGGAGGGTTTGATTCACAACCGATCATGGGGATGGTGCAGGACTGGATAGCATTTCACTTTGTTATGCACGGGGATTGCCATGATTTGGAGGCTGACTCTATGACAGCTAATAACAACAACAGCAGGCACTGGGGATAAAACCATGAACAAGGGAGACACAGCCCCAGGCCTTACGTTCTAGTGATGGACATAGATATTATGTCTATAATTGTTGAAAGATTTCGCAAATAACTGTAAATTTTCTATTGTGATAAATGTGATGGAGAAGAAAT